TTTAGTGAAGAAGAGTAAGTATAACCTTGGTAGCAAGGAGTAAGGCTTGGAGGATACCTGTAAGTAAAGTCTTGCTTCTTGAGAGGGTAATTCAGAGAGGTAGCAAAGAGTAAGTTTGAAGGCAGGACTTGCTCTTTGAAAGGGTATGAGTTGGACACCTACAACAAACTTTCCATCTTTACCACCATCTTCCATTGCTTTGATTGAAAATACTTTAGTCAAGATGGCTTCAACTATCAAACCAATTGAGAAAGAGCCAGATATAGATCCTTTAGTCTGTCATGGCAATGGCAGTGTAGAGCTTTAAAAGTGATGGCATTGACTAAGACAAAGCACAAAGAAGGAAAACAAAACTATCTACAATTCTACCAACTATATCTCTCACTTGCTTAGAGTGTACAGTCCACCCATGGTTGCTGGGTAACCTTCAGTGGTGCCAGGTAACCCCAGGTGGTTCCAGTCCTTGCTCCTGTCCAGAGGTTGGTTTGTGACATTACCCCCCCCTTTAACAGTTCTGAGCTCTATGAAGGCTATATAATGGTCTTGTTGTCATGGTTTAGTTAGATACAGGTAATGAAACCTAGTCAGTAGGTAATCTACATGGTCAACATTCTCTTCTGGTAACCATTCAAGTGCATCATAACCTGTTCATTTAACCAAGTATTTAATCCATCCCTGCCTTTCTTGGGAATCCAGGATGTCCTCTACCTCATATGCTTCTTCTCCATCTACCAGTACTGGTAGTACTAGGGTAGCTATTTGGCCTGGAAGTAGGTCCCCTGCTGCTGGTGATAGTTGGGAAACATGGAAGACATTGTGAATTTGCATGCTTTTGGGTAGATCCAGTTCATATATGTAAGGGTTTAGTACTCATTTGATAGTAAAAAGCCCCAAGTTCTTCCAATCTAATTTTTGCAAGGGACATTGAGTTCTTATCTCTTTTGTACTTAACCATACTTGATTGCCTTCTTTATATGTAGGTGCTGGTAGTTTTCTGCAGTTGGCATTATCCTTGTAATGCATTTTAGCTTTGTTGATCTCTGCTTGTAATAGTGTTAGGATTTCTTTCATGTACTGTCTGAAGTCAAAACCTTCATTTGCATTGGGTGTTTCAGCTAGTTCTGGGGACAGGGTTGGTTTGAATCCTATACAAGGGTTGTAACCATAATTTATGTAGAATAGGGTGCACCTGATCACTGACAATTCAGTATTATTCAATGCAAATTTGGCTAGGCCTAACCATAGTAACCAGTTGTCTTGTAGGTAAGAGACATAACTACACAGGTACTGTTCCATTATGGCATTGAGTTGCTTAGTTTGTCCATCTGTCTCTGGGTGATAGGCTGTAGATAGTAATGCCTAGATCTTTAAGATGTGACATACTGCTTGCCAGAAGTCTAAAATAAATTGTATGCCTCTATCTGACACTATTGTCTCTGGGAGCCTGTGCAATGAGAATATTTAGTTTACAAATAGTTTAGCAACATCTTGTGCTGTGGCCATAGTTGTTGTAGGTAAGAAATGTCTCATCTTAGTTAGCTGGTTGGTTACTACTAGTACTGCATTGTACCCTCCTGATAGGGGCAGCCCTGTGACAAAATCCATTGAGATGTCCTTCTAGTATTACATGGGTATTGGTAGTAGTTTCAGTACTCTATATGGGCTTTGGTAGTGTGGTTTGCTCTGTGTACAAGTATGGCAGTTCCTTACATACTGGGCTACTGTAGCTTGCATGCCTGGCCAGTAGAAGGCCTAGCTAATTAGTTCTAGTGTGCAGGCTCTTCCTGAGTGTCTGGCTGCTGGTGAGTCATGGTGCTGGTGACAGATAAGGGTTCAGAGGTTTTTGAAGTCTGGTATATATAGTTGTTCCCTATAGAATAGCTATTGATTGGCCTCCTGGCAGTCTGCTAGAGTTATCAATCTAGATTGGTACTGTCCTAAGTGTAGTGCTTGGAACACCTTTTGGACCCATTCATCTTGCATATAGCTCTCTTCTAGGAGTTTTGATAGTGTTAGTTCTTCAGGTTCTGGGGACTCTGATCCCCAGTAGGGCTGTGTAGGTGGTTCTAGGTTAACTAAGGTTTGGCATCCTTCCTACCTGGGTCTTAACTGTCATTGAGGTAGCATGCTGCTGTACTCTGGTTCTGCCAGTGGCTCATAGTTAGAGTTAGTGTCACTGTATAAGCTAGAATTGTTGCTATCTTCAAACTATAGTAGCTGTAGTCTTAGTGGAACTGGTTCTACTTGGTGTAGTTTGATTACTATCTGCTGTTGGTGTTTTAACCATGGGTTGCCTGGTTTAGGCTAATCAGCAGACTTCTAGGTAAGGGTGTCTGGTTTCCCTCCTAGTCTCCTGGGGCAGTAATGTATCCTGAAGTCAAACCATGAGAGATACTCTGCCCATCAGGCCTGGTGCTGGTTAAGGGTTTTGGTAGACATGAAGTGTTCCAGGTTTTTATGGTCACTAAAGATCTTAACTAGGTGCTTTGCTCCCTCAAGCTTGTGTCTCTACTCTTTAAATGCTAGGATGATGGCCATTAGTTCCTTGTCATGGATCTTGTAATTGCATTTAGTGGGTGAGAACTTCTTGGAAAAGTACACTACAGGCCACAATATGCCCTTTTTATCATGTTGAGAGTGTACTACTACAGCTACTAGGTCTAAGGCATTAGTTTCTACAATGCTTTCCTTGTCTGGGTCATATAATGCCAGTATTGGTGCAGTGCAGAATAACATCTTGAGATCCTCAAAGGTGTGTTGACACTCCTAAGTTCATTCCCATAGACTGTCTTTGCAGGTTAGTCTGGTTAGGGGGGCTGCTATCTTGGAGAAGCCCTTTACAAACTTTTGATAAAAGTTAGTGAACCCCAAGAAGCCCTGAACATCTTTTACTTTCCAGGGCATCTCTCATTCCCTAACTGTAGCCACCTTTTCTAGGTTCATTTATACACTTCTTTGTCCAATTAGTAAGCCTAGGTATTTGACTTTGGTGGTATGGAACTTGCATTTGGTAATATCCACCTGTAAGCCTGTATCTCTTAGTGCTTGTAGTACTAGTTTTACATGGTTTTTGTGCTCTTTGAGATTATCACTGTAAATGAGTATGTTGTCTAAATACACTGTGCAGAAGATGTCCAGGTATTCCCTAAGTATGTTGTTGATAAAGTTCTACCATGAGCCTAGGGCTCTACACAGCCTGAAGGGCATAACTAAAGACTCAAACTGCCCATAATGGGTTCAGAAGGCTATTAGGGGCTTGTCCCCTTCTCACATCCTAAGTTGATTATAAGCCATGATGATATCTAGCTTTGTGTAGTATTAGGCCTTGCTTAGCTAGTCAAGGGTCTCTTTAATAAGTAGAATTGAGTAACAGTCCTTAACAGTAATGGTGTTGAGTCCTCTATAGTCTACACATAACTAAAGGCCCCCCCCTGGTTTCTTAATGAACATGATGGGTGCAGTGAAGAGTAAGCAGCTAGCTTGAATGAACCCTTTCTGAAGGTTCTCTTCAAGGAATTTCTTGAGTACTTTGAGCTCTTTAACTGACATGTTGGTCAATTGTCTGATTGGTGGAGAAGTTCCTGGTTGAAGGTTTATGGCATGGTCATATAGTTAATGGAAGGCTAATGTATTGGCAAGCTTTTAAGAAAACACCTCCAAGTAGTCATGGTATTTAACAGGTAAAATAGTGGTAGGGTCAACTTCTGGTTTAATCTTCAAGGTGATCTCTATATCTCTTATAGATACTACATAAAGCTTGTAATCTCTTCTCCTAGCTAACCATGTAAATGGTCTTGCTCCTATAAGGTTTATCTGAATTGATGTTGTGCAGTCATTCTTTGCAGGGGCCCTAGCTATGTTTAGGCTAGGGTATGCATTAGCAGTAGATAGGCACAAGGGCAGTGGCATAGGCAGTGGCATAGGTAGTGAGTGAACTGAGTGTATAGGGGTTGTGTCCTCCTTGTTAGGCATGTCCACTAACCCTGCTAATATAGCAGCTTGTTGTCCTTGTAGGCAGTGTTTTTGGCAGTAATTCAAGTTGAGGATAACTGTGTTTGAACCCCAGTAGGTGTGTATATTGTGTTTTTATAACCATTTAATACCAAGAACCACTGGGTAGTAGCCTAGCTATATAACCAGAAACTTAACTGATTCTTGGTGGTTACTAGTTACCATAGTTGCTTGTGAGTATTATGTAAGCAGTCCTGATGCAATAGTCTAGCCATCTACCACTGTGAGCATTCAAGGGTTGTTAAGTTTAGCAAGTAGCATTTGGTGTTGTTAGGTGAAGTGTTGGTCAATAAAGGCTAGGGTGGATGTGTCACTGTTAACTAGGGCATGGGTAATGATTTCTCTAAAGTTAAAGACAAGTTTGATTGCTATGACCATGTAGTCTCTTTCTAAACTATCTTCAAGAGAACTAGCTGAGATTAAGATTGATAGTAGGGGCCTCCAAGGGCAACTATCCCTGGAGGCACCTAGTTTTCTGCAGTAGGCTTGCTAGATCCAGAGCTAGTAGCAACCTGGAGAGTAGCCTCATTCAGGCACATACATTTGCCCTCAGGGCAGTTCACTATAGCATGGCCTAGCTTGCTACAGTTATAGCACTTAAATTTCTCACAGCCACTTGCTGTATGTCTACTTCCTCCACAGTAAGAACAGAGGCCAAGTTCTTGGTGTTAGGCTTTCTCCTCTAGTAGGACTAGTCCACATTGTACACTGGATAGGTCCATGGGAGTAGCTCCAAAGTTAGAGGCTGAATCAGAGGGGCAAATAGTGGGAGTAAACATGGTGGTACTAACCATGGTCAGTGCAACACTAGAGGGAGCTGTAGTGGCTACATAACTATGACAACCTCCCTGATAGCAGGAGATCATAGAGCTTGGGGTGGACTTTGAACCATAAGTGCCTCTCAGGGGCACAGGGAAGTGGTCTTACATGGTGACTATTTTGTTGTCCACCTTCTGTAAGAGCTCAATATAGTCATCTAGTTTGCTAGGGACCTTATAAGTGATCATGGCATTTGTTAACTCATAGGAGATACCTCTACTCAATATGCTTTTCAACACCATTTCATCAAATCCAGTATCAGGAGCTAAGCAGCAGAAGGTAGCAATGAAGGTCAAAAAAGGTAAGTTTGCTTGGTTAAGGTGGCAGAGCTCCCACTGAGCAGTGGCCTGCTTGTCAAGGTCACCAAAGGCTTGTTCTAGCATCTTGAGCAAGTCCACCACAGTAGTATAACCTTGGAACTAATTATTAGCTAAGACTAACAGCATGACTTGCTTAAGGACTGTTCCTTCTAGGCAGCTCATAACATAGAGCATCCTGGCATTTTCATCTAGGAAGTGGTCATGGTTTATACCAAGCTTTGAGCAGATAAGTACAAGGAATGTATCAACCTCATCATACTTTCCACTAAACTTCAGTGGATCAGGGTGTGTAGCTAAGCATTTGGAAGATGTTTTCTCATAGGTTTTAGAGAGGGCATTGATTAGTTGATCACTCAAGGCCTGGACCTTTATAGCAGAGATACATTCTCATTCTTTAGCTTGCTTAGCAACTACAATGGCTTGATTGCATTCAATGTAGGTCTGCTTCCAGGCTAGCTCCACTTGGGAGAAGGTGTTAGTAAGGTTATAAATAAAATGAAACCAGCTATTGGGGTCTTCTGAAACCAACTGGACATGCTGTTCCAGGGTGAGAGTAGCAAGGTCAATGTTGCCAATAGGCAGGGATGGGGGTATAATAGGTTCAAAAGGCATTTTCTCAACAAGCAGTTACTCAATTAAGATGTCACTTGCAGTAAATGAAAGCTAAACCCTGGTGGAGGCTTTAATTAAGAGAAGGTGCTTTGTAGTGTCATAGCAATGGCAGTGTAGAGCTTTAAAAGTGATGGCATTGACTAAGACAAAGTACAAAGAAGGAAAACAAAACTATCTACAATTCTACTAACTATATCTCTCACTCACTTAGAGTACACAGTCCACCTATGGTTGCTGGGTAACCTTCAGTGGCACCAGGTAATCCCAGGTGGTTCCAGTCCTTGCTCCTGTCTGGAGGTTGGTCTGTGACAAGTCCAAGTACTACAAGAATCTCCAACTCCAAAACCAAGACAGCTACACTTAAAAAAGAAAAAATATCAAGCTACCAACACTACTATAAAGGAAAAAATCCAAATGGTAGTTAAACAAAACCAACAACTACTTCAAAGCTTAACTACACCAACTATTTCCAAAAACTTTTAGCAACAAACAACTCAAGATATTCAAAACATCAACCAGCTACTACAAGCTATTCAAAAAAGAAAAAGTGTTCAAGTCATGGAACAAGATATTCTATCAACAAAAAGTCAAGAGCAAGTTTCAAAAGTAGAATTTTAACAATTTAAAACTAAAATTACTACAAAGCTTGATCAAATACTTCAAACAACTATTGAACAACAAGCAATTAAACAAACTACACTACCAACTACTTTTCAATTCCAGCCTATCAATCAAAAATCAAAACCATCTACAACATATGCTTTTATAGCTAAAGGATCTAGTACAAAAGACAATTCATGGACTACAGTCTCAAAAGCTAAGACCAAAACTAAAGAAGTAATCAAACCAATTACTACCTTTAGAGATAGGAGAGTAATTGTTACTCCTAAACAGATGCCAAATTCTTTCAATGCTATGGAAATCAGGAACCAGATTAACAAAAAACTTAAAGAAGCAAAAATCAATGATCTGCTGGTAGCAAGTGTTACTCAATCTCAGTTAAAGACAAACATTGTCTTAACAACTTATCAAGACAATACAGCTTATCAACTATTACAACACAAAGCTATCTGGGCCTCTGAACTAGAAGTAATACAAATTGCAAAAGATGAGAAGTGGCACAAAATAGTTGCTCATGGAATTTCTACAAAAGTATTTCAAGGACCTCAAGAATTACAAGCAATTCAAGAAGAACTTGAAACATATAACAAAGATCTAAAGCTTGTATATTTACTTACTTGGATTACATCTACAGAAACAAGACAATACAAGGAACATTCTTTTCTGGTACTAGCTTTTAAAACAGAACAAGAAGCCAAGCAAGCCTTAAGAAACAGACTTCTTATAGCTGGACTATCAGCTAGAATAGTTAAATATGAAGACAATAAACCAATAAATCAATGCTTTAAATACCAACAATTTGGACATCAACATACTAGATGTACTAAAAAAGCAAAATGTTAAATCTGTGCAGAATTACATAATACAAAACAACATACATGTACAATATGTTCTCTACTAACTATAGGCAAGGCTTGTTTTCATAGCATTATTAAATGCAGCAACTGCTTAGGAAGTTACAAGGTTAATGCAAAAGAATGCTCTATATACCAAGCTTTATTACCAACTACATCAACTACAGACCACCTTGCCATGGACTATTAATGAATAGAAATCCAATAGATATTCAAATAGTCCAACACAATTGTGCTAGATTTATTAATGTTATGTATATATGTCTAGATCTAGCAACATCTTCAACAAACATTCTTTTACTACAAGAACCCTGGATTGGACCAAACAACACCACTATATCACATCTTTCATTTACAACAATATTTCCTTTGTCATTATCAAAAAGACCTAGAGCATTAGCTTTTATTACAAAGCTTAAACCAGACCTACAATATACTGTTGAAACAATGATTCAAGATGAAGATTGTTTTATTTTACAAGTACAAAGCACTACCATTTTACCAACATTCATTATTAATATCTATAATAAAGCTCAACAAACCACAACACCTTCTCTATGGACAGTAAAGAGACTATTATACAAAATACAACCATGGTCTAGAACACTTATCTGTAGAGATTTTAATGCATACCATGCATGGTGGAACTCTATGAAAACTACTTTTATTAGAGCAGATGTACTAGTTACATGGCTTACACAACATTAATTTCTCTTAATAAATACTCCTGATCTAATAACTTATCTTGGAAATCAAAGAAATACTTTTTTAGTATTAGATCTAGCATTTTCTACACCCAATCTATATCTTTATATACAAGATTGGCAAATACTTGAAGACTAGACAACAGGATCAGATCATGAAGCAATTAAATTTACATTAAAAGGAGCAAAATTAGAAGAGGTTATCCACCCTATACATACTTCTTTTAATGTTAATAAGGCCAACTGGAAGATCTTTTAAAACATAATCCAGAAGCAAGAAAAGTATCATCTAGATCAACTACAAAAAGATATACTAGAAGATACTATTCTAACTACCAGGCTAGAAAAAATAGCATGTACACTACAACATGCTATTAAAATAGCATGTCAAAGATTTATTCCTCAATTTAAACTATCTCCAAGATCTAAACCATGGTAGAATGACCAACTATCATCTCAAAGAACTAAAGTAGCTCAAGCAAAGAGACAATGAAAGCAAAATAAAAGCCAAGATCTATGGAAAGAATATACTACTAAAAGAAATAGTTTCTTTAGAAGTATTAAACAAGCTAAAGAAACATCCTGGACAAACTTTTTAATAAATGTTAAAGGAGTTGATATTTTCAAAGCATATCACTATATCAATCCAAGAAAAGTAGAAAAACTTCCTTCTATCCAAGGACCAGCTACTGTAAAAACTACTTTTCAAGAAAAATGTTCAGCTTTCTTAACTACTTTATTTCCTACACTACCTACAAGTCAAGAAACTACAGGAGTTTAATACAAGGCTCAAATATGCTCTTGGCTAAAGATTACTCAACAAGAAATCAAGCATGCCATTCAAACTTCTGCTCCAAAAAAGGCTCTAGAACCTGATCAATTATCTTTTGCAATCATTCAAAAAGCATTTCAATACATTCCAAGATGGTTTACTCTAGTATATCAACTACTATTAGACCAAGGATATTATCCTATTAGCTGGAGACAAGGCATAGGAGCAGTACTAAAGAAACCATCAAAGCTTGATTATACTTAACCAAAAGCATATAGGATAATTACACTTCTTAACTGCTTAGGCAAGATTTTAGAAAAGATTTGTCATGGACCAACCTCTAGACAGGAGCAAGGACTGGAACCACCTAGGGTTACCTGGTGCCACTAAAGGTTACCTAGTAACCATGGGTAGACTATATACTCTAAGTGAGTGAGAGATATAGTTGGCAGAATTGTAGATAGTTTTGTTTTCCTTCTTCATGCTTTGTTTTAGTCAATGCCATCACTTTTAAAGCTCCACACTACTATTGCTGTAATACTACAAAGTACCTTCTCTTAATCAAAGCCTCTACCAGGGCTTAGCTTTCATTTACTACAAGTGACATCTTAATTGAGTGACTGCTTGTTGAGAAAATGCCTTTTGAACCTATTATACCTCCATTCCCACCTATTGGTGACATTGACCTTGCTACTCTCATCCTGGAATAGTTTGTCCAGTTGGTTTCAAAAGACCTCAATAGCTGGTTTTATTTTATTTATAACCTTACTAACACCTTCTCCTAAGCAGAGCTAGCCCAGAAGTAGACCTACATTAAATGCAATTAAACTATCACAGTTACTAAGCAAGCTGAAGAATGAGAACATGTCTTTGTCATAAAGGTCCAGGCCTTGAGTAATTAACTGATTGATACCCTCTCTAAAATCCATGAGAAAATGTCTTTCAAATGCTTAGCTACACACCCTGATCTACCAAAATTTAGTGGAAAGCATGATGAGGTCAATACATTCCTTACACTCATCCACTCAAAGCTTGGTATAAACCATGACTACTTCCTAGACAAAAATGCCAGGATGCTCTATATTATGAGCTACCTAGAAGGAACAGCCCTTAAGTAAGTCATGCCATTAGTCTCAGCTAATAATCAGTTCCAAGGTTATACTACTGTAATGGACTTGCTCAAGATGCTAGAATAAGCCTTTAGTAACCCTAACAAGCAGGCCACTACTTAGTGGGAGCTTTGCTACCTTAACCAAGCAAACTTGTCTTTTTCAACCTTCATTGCCACCTTCTACCACTTAGCCCCCAATACTGGATTTAATGAAATGGTGCTGAAAAGCATATTGAGTGGAGGTATCTCCTACAAGTTAACAAATGCCATGATCACTTACAAGGTCCCTAGCAAACTAGATGACTATATTCAGCTCTTACAGGAGGTAGACAACAAAATAGTCACCATGCAAGACTACTTCCCTGTGCCTCTGAGAGGCACTTATGGTT